ACCTGGGACAAGGGAGGGTGGAAAAGAAGGGCAGGCCTTCGGGAGATTGACAGGTAAGTGGAAGGGAGGAAATGATCAAGGCAGGGGATGCTATCTGGGAAAGGGAAAGGGGCTAGAGAGAATGAAGAGGAAGTGGGAGGGACAGGAGTGCAGAGCCAACTGGAGGTTGATGACTGGGAAAGTGGGCGGGGCCTGTGGACTGACAGGCCGGGAGATCTGGGCAGGGCTTGGGAGGCTGGGGAAATGGGCGGGGCCTAAGGAGAATGGCAGGCGTGGGGGAACTAGGTGGAGCCTGGGGGAAGTGGGTGGGGCTTGGGAGTCTGGGGGGGAATGGGCGGTGCCTAAGGAGAATGGCAGGCGTTGGAGGAACTGGGTGGAGCCTGGGGAAATGGGCGGAGCTTGGGAGTCGGGGGGGGGAATGGGCAGGGCCTAAGGAGAATGGCAGGCGTGGGGGGAACTGGGTGGAGCCTGGGGGAAATGGGCGGAGCTTGGGAGTCGGGGGGGGGAATGGGCAGGGCCTAAGGAGAATGAGGAAATGGGCCTGGGATGGAAAACCCGGTTAAGACCCTAGAAGTGTGTGGAGGGGGGGAGAGACCCCACCTTTTCCTTAGACTCACAGGCCAACGTCACGTCGGAGTTGATAAACCTGGCTGATCTCTGGCTGGCCCAGGTCTTTGGCGACCCCTCGGTGGACACTTTCTGGTTGAGCTCCATGACAGGCGGGAGGGAACCCCGAAGATCTGAGAGCAGCAACGGCCACCGCCCCTCCCTCCCGCGCCTCATTGGCCGGGCGCCGCCCAATGGGAATCGCCCTTAGGGGTCCCAGGCTTCTCCATGGCTTCGGAAAAGGCGGGGACCGGCGGGGACCCCAGCCCCGCGGAGAGGTCTGGCGGTGCTTCTTCAGTCGTACAGTTCTCCAGCCCCGCGGCTCTGCTTCCCGGGCTCTGTCCGATTCGACCCTGGCCGCGTCCGCGCTCTTCCCGCTCCGCTCCGGGTTCCCGCCGTCCCCCCAGTTCTGCACCCCGTCTCTCCCAGCCCTGCGCCGAGGCGGCCGTCCACCAGGGGGCGCCCGCTGCACACTCGGGGCGCCCTCCGCCGCCCCCCAACCCCTGCCCCGGGGTTCCGCGGAGGAGAGGGCAGGAGATGAAGGGGATGGATGGGGACCGGGGCAGGAGGGTTGTGTGTGCCCAGCCAGCAGAGTGCCCCGCGTGCAAACTGCGAAGCCCTGCATGGCTTCCCCAAGTCAGCGCCCGGGCCATGGCATCTAGAGGTCTGTGTATCCGTGTGTGTGTGTGTGTGTGTGTGTGTGTGTGTGTGTGTGTGAGTCCCAAGGAAGCTGGGACTCTATGACCCCCGTGTCCTTTCAGTGTCTGTGGCTAGCTTGTTCTTGGGTAGCTGTGATTGTGTGTCTGTGTCCAGGTATGTGTGTATGTATGTCCGCATGATGTATTTGTCTTGGTTGTGTGTATGCACGATGTATTATTTGTCTTGATTGATTTTTTGGGGTGTGTGTGCCAATCCTTGGGTTTGAGCTCAGGTTCTGGCCACCATCTCTGAACTTTGTTTTGCTCAAGGCTTAGCACTCTACCTCTTCACCCAGAGCTCCACGTCTTTCTTGGTTAATTGTAGATAAGAGTCTCTCGGACTTTCCTGCTCAGGCTGGCTCTGAAGTATAATCTTCAGATCTCAGCCAGTAGCTGAGTAGCTGGGATTACAGGTGTGAACCACCAGCTCCTGGCTAGCTAGTGTGATTTTTTTTTTTTTTGGTTGGTCATGAGGCTTGAACTCTGGGCCTGGGCGCTGTCCCTCAGCTCTTCAGCTCAAGGTGAGCGCGCTACCACTTGAGCCACAGTGCCACTTCCGGCTTTTTTCTTTTTGCTTATGTGGTGCTGAGGAATCGAACCCAGGGCCTCCGGCATGCAAGGCAAGCGCTCTACCACTGAGCCACCGTCCCAACCCATCTTGTGTGTTCCTCTATCTGTTCAATATGTGTGTCTCCCAAAGAGAGAAGGTTGGAGAATGCCTTCCAACCAGAGGTCCTGCTGGGGTCCCCTTTCCACAGAGCAGCTGGCGTGGGCCCCTTGGCTGGTGCCCTCAGCCACCCCCACGTTTCCATTCACTTTAGTGGAGAAACACTATTTCTTGCCTTTCATGCTGGCCAAACCTTCCCCTGTTTGAAGCAGCTGTGGCTCTGGTTTCTTTGTGTGCATAACTTACCACAATCTGTGCTTCATGTTAAAAAAAAAAGCAAAAAAAAACCCCAAAACCAAATAATCAAAAACCTCAACACATGGAAAATACAGTAGATGGAAAGCCACATAGAATACAAGGCTTTCCCCTGACCACTGCATCTTTGCATACCTTCCAGAAATGTTTTCTGCAAGTAGATCGCAGCTCTGGGACAAGCCTGTGTTCTGGCCACAGCATCTCCTGTACCTGACTTTATTTGAGATCTCTGAGGTTCCAGAAGTTGAGTTAGTCACATTTGCCACTTCATTAGCAAACATAGTCTACCAACAAACATCTGGCTGTTTCCCTTTCACAACTGCTCAGGTCATTTCTGTTTAACACAGTCTTGCAACAGACACCTCTGGCTATCTTCTCATCTATCCATCCATTTACCTATCAGCCCATTAATCTACCCATCCATCCATCTCTTTACCTATCAGTCCATTTATCTACCCATCCATCCATCCATCCATCCATTCACCTATCAGTTTGCTTATCTACCCATCTATCCATCCATCCATCAATCCATCAATCACCTATGCATTCTTCCCCTCATCTACCCACCTACCCATTATCACAATAATGCACTGCCTTGGTGCATATGCCTTTGCATCAGACCTGTGTTATTCTGGCTTATTGAGGCTCCCAAGAAGACCAGAGTCCAGCCTGGGTGAGCTTGGAGTACACATTGCTCTTCTCTGTGTTCTTTCCTTCCTGCAAAATCTACCATCAGCCAGGCATTGATGGCTCATGCCTGCAATCTTAACTACTCAGGAGGTGAGATCTGAGGACCACAGTTTGAATCCAGCCCTGGAAGGAAAATCCAGAGACTCTTACCTCCAATTAACTGCCAGAAAACCAGAAGTGGTGCTGTGGCTCAAAGTAGTAGAGTGCTAGCTTTGAGCACAAAAGTTCAGGGACAGTGCCCAGGCCCTGAGTTCAAGTCCCACAATAAACAAAAAGAACACTACCATCTCTTTCCTGGTTCTCTCTCAGACACAGAAAAGCCCCCTTTCCTCTGCTTATTATTGCACAGACTTTTTTTTTTGGTGCCTGTCCTGGGGCTTGAACTCAGAGCCTGGGCACTGTCCTTGAACTTCTTTTTGCTCAAGGCTAACATTACCACTTGAGCCACAGCACCACTTCCAGCTTTTTCTGTGTATGTGGTACTGAGGAACAGAACCCAGGGCTTCATGCATTGTAGGCAAGCTCTCTACCACTAAGCCACCTTCCCAGATCCTTTGTCTTTTTCTATGCTTTTCTTTCAGTTTGGGCATGTGAGCTTCTTGGCTGTGCTGCTGTCAAGAGGTCATTTTACGTCTGTATCTATCTGTCTGTCTTCCTGGTTGGTACCCGGACTCTGGATGCTGGGGCTGTGGTGGGCTAGGGGTTTTAATGTGTTCTTCAGTCAAGTTCATTAACTTTTTTTTTAACTCATCAGAAATTTATTCTCTCACAGTTCAGAGGCCAGAAGACCAAGGCTAAGGTGTTAGCAGGGTTGGTTTATTTAAGAGGCTGAGGAAGAATCTTTCCTTGCTCTTTCTTAGCTTCTGAAGGTTGACAACAATCTTTGACATTCCTTGGCTTGTGGATAAATCGCTCAGTTCTCCACCTCCATCTTCATGTGATTTTTCTCCTCTTTACAGCTCTATACGTCCCTATGCACAAAGTTTTCGATCATGTGTGTGTACCAGTGGTTGGATTGGGGCTCCCTAAGTCAGTATGACCTCAGCTTGACTACATCTACAAAGGTACTATTTGCATAGGAGGTACTGAAAAGGTTAGGATTTAAATATATATTTTGAGGAATATGACACTAGTACTTGTGGTGTTACACTGATTTTCTTATGTGGCCACCTTTATGTTTCTGAAGTAAACCCCACCTGGTCATGGTATATAATCTAACATGCAACTGGCTTAGTTTACTAGTATTTTACTGAGAATTTTGCTGAGGATTTTAGTATGGCAGGATTAAAATAGAGAGAAATGAAAGAGAAAAGAGAAACATTTCCTGCTTTCCATTCAGGAAGTGGGAGTAAATAGATGCTGGGTTTTACATTTTTCTCATAAAGGATATCACACTGTAGTTTTCTCTTGTTGGACTTCACTATCAGGGTGCAGCTTGCCTCCTTCTTTGAGGATGAATTCGAGAACATTAGTGTTAATGTTTCTTTAAGTGTTCAATAGAAATTTACTGATGAAAGTCATCTTGGTCCTGGGTTTTCTCAGTTAAGAGTTTTTGATTACCAATTTGATCACTTCTCATAGGTCTATTCAGATTTTCTATTTCTTCTTGAAAAGTTTGGCCATTCCAACAGGTTATCTAATATGATGGCTTACAGTTGTTCATTGTGTTCTCTCATAATCCTTTTTTTGTTTTAATTTAATTTTATTTGTGAACATACTGTACAGAGGGGTTACAATTGCACGGGCAGGATAATGCGTACATTTCTTACCAAGCATTGCAGCCTCCTCCTTTGTTTACCCTTCACATCACTCCCCAGCCTCCCCCCTCCCCCCCATCATAATCCTTTTTTTGTTTCTGTGAGATTCTTCAGTTCTGCTTTTAGTAATAGGAATCTTCTTTCATTTTTTTCTAAATCAATCTAGCTAGAGGCTTGTTGAACTGATGATGTGGCTCAAAGGGTAAAGCACCCAGCTTAGAAAGGAGAAGCCCGAGTTCAAGCCTCAGTACTCTAAAACTCATGCATACCAGCAATGGGCACATGCGCACGTGGCCACTTTGGCAGGCCTTGAGGTCACAGGAAGACATGAGGGCCCTGAGCGAAGCAAAGCACGAGGCGGAGGAGGAAGGACCCCACGTAGGGTCAGGGAGAGGCGAAGGACACGGGGCCAGAGAAACAGAGAGGACAAAGGGACCTACAGAGGTGCGGGCAGAGGCTTGGAGTACAGGGCCCAGGTCAAGACAGACAAACCTGAGGGAACCATCCTGTGAGCTGAGGACGCAGGAATCTCAGAGCCCCGGATGGAGGTCTCTGACGGAGGCTGTCGGGATAGAGAAGGCAAGTTCATTAACTTTTCTAGTTTTCAGTTCCCCTAACTGGGTTCTTCCATTCAGAAACTCCACGAGGTAACATTCTTCTAGAGATCACACCCCCCCCAAAAAAGGAAACCAACCAAACAATAAAAAAAGCTTTTCTTTCCTTGTACTAGTCTTAGGGCTTGAACTCAGGGCCTGGGCACTGTCCCTGAGCTTCTTTTGCTCAAGGCTAGCACTCTACCACTTAAGCCACAGAGCCACCTCCAGCTTTTCTGTGGATGTGGTGCTGAGGAATTGAACCCAGGGCTTCATGCATGTTAGGCAAGCACTCTACTACTGAGCCACATTCCCAGCCCTTGCTTGGCTCCAGGCTCCACCCCCTCCCCCCAAGGCTGGTTCCCTACTCCTTGAACCACAGCTTCACTTCCAGCTTTTTGGTGGTTAATTGGAGACAAGTCTCATGGACTTTCCTGCCTGGGCTGGCTTTGAACCCAGACTCTCCGATCTCAGCCTCCTGAGTAGCTAGGATGACAGGCGTGAGCCACGAGCGCCTGGCTTCTGAAACCATTCCAGCGTGGACACAGAGGAGGGTGACTTTAGCAAATTCTCTTTTTGCAATGTCTGACGCCCTCCGGAATTGGGCTGGGGGCTCTCCAGTGAGTTGAGGAGGGGGTGCTAGACTGGGTCGTCTCCTAGTTTGCTTGAATTTGTCTGACTGTCCTGGCGATGAAGTTTCAAGGGTGACATTTCACTAGTTTGTCCACAAGGAGAGTTTGGCTGGAGATGACAAAAGTGGGGGTGTTTGGTGTGCCACTGTAGACGGGGTTGGGGGTTCGACAGTGACCAAGGAGGGGCCCCAGAAGGTGGGCTTTCAGAATCCCCTAATCTGGCCAGGCCTTCCCAGGGGCTTCGTCCTCCGAAAGTGACACTTTCGGATAGTAACGTTCACCGCCAAGACTCCAATGTATGGGAGGTGGTTTCCAAAATTTGCATAACGAACCCGGTCGACGCTTGGACTCCATGATAAGTTTGATGAGTTAAAACAATTCCTGTAGAAATGAGGGAACAAATGACACTGTACGAAAGGAAATGTACTCATGTGCCGCACGGGAATGTAACCTGTCTGTATATCGCCTCTATAATAACAGTAAATTCTAAAGAGAGAGAGAGAGAGAATGAACTCTACAACTTGTGGGTGGGGACAGGAGGGAAAACCTAGAGAGCAAGGGAAAGAGTGACATCACCTGGACTTATGTAACTGTAACCCCTTTGTACAACACATTTATGTATGTATGTGTGTATGTATGAATGTATCTATGTATGTTTGTTAAAAAATATTTCTAGCTGGGCGCTGGTGGCTCACACCTGTAATCCTAACAACTCAGGAAGCTGAGATCCGAGGATTGCAGTTCAAAGCCAGCCTGAGCAGGAAAGCCCATGAGACTTTTATCTCCAGTGAACCACCAAAAAAACCAGAAGTGGCACTGTGGCTCAAGTGGTAGAGCGCTCGCCTTGAGCTGAAGAGCTCAGGGACAGCACCCAGGTCTAGAGTTCAAGACCCATGACTGACAAAAAAACAAAAACACTTCTTTTAAACTGTTTCAGAGGGGGTGGCCCCACAGCACCCTGTTTTCAAATGTGATCCCCTTGGGGTCTAATCAGTGATGAATCTGAGAGTTCTGCCTGAATACAGCAAATATTAAATAAAAAAAATTGTTTTCCCTTAGTCTGGCTAGCATCAAGGATGGCTTTGTCTTGAATTCTTCAGTGAGGCTCAGACACAGGGCTGGTATCTCAGTCACCCTTGTTCAGTGTCATTAATATTCAGACTTTGGGGCTCCATGGCTTCCATCTCCAGGGGGTGGTAATCCCCCCCCTCTATTCAGGGGCAGTTGTTTCTGTGCATGGAGGGCATTTCCCTGCCATGGGGTATGGACTGTCAGCCAGAGCTCTGTCTTCAAGGTGGAAGCCCCTCTCGATTCCTCTTTTGGGGCCAGGTTTGAGCAGCTTCTCCCCGCCTCTGCCAGCAGGGCTAGCGGGAAATTGGTGTTTCCTCTAAACGAGTGTTCAGACTCATCCTTGGCCACAGGGGGAAGGGGGAGGGAATTTTTCCCCCTGGACTCTCCAGCCTTCTGCTTTGGGGGTCCAGAAAAACTTCTGACAGGAAGCATCCAGTAGGTGGGTGGGGGCAGGCCAGAGAAGGCCCAGGGGTCCCGGATAGGGAGAGGCAAGGGGATGGGGGTGCTAAGCCTGACTCTCAAGAGCCTGGGGTTGAGGGAACTTGGGGAGTCTCAGTGGTGGGGGAGCCAGGAGATTGCAAGGAGGAGCAAGAAACGCAGAGAGACAAGATCCTGAAAGTGAGAGAGGAGGCCAGGTGCTGCCTGGAATCCCAGCTGACCGGGAGGTTGAGATCTGAGGATGGAGGTTCCAGGTTCAAAGCCACCCAGGGCAGGAAAGCCCCGTGAGATTCTCATCAGCAATGAACAGCCAGAAAGCCTGGAGATAGTAGCGGGGCACCGAGTGGCTCATGTCTGTCATTCTAGCTACTCAGGAGGCTGAGATCGGAGGATCAGGGTTCAAAGCCAGCCATGGCAGGAAAGTCCCTGAGACTCTGATCTCCA